GTGAAAGCCGATCCGGCGATCCACAGTGCGAAGTTGTTGTATTTCCTCAGCGACCAGCACAGATCAGCCCCAGGCATGACTAAGCGGATATCATCCTCTTTTGAAAGGCCAAACAAAGTAGTTTTGCTTTCACAACGAAACACATGGCAACAAAAATATTACAGCGAGAATCAAAGTTACGCCTTCTTTCTTTGCGTGAACATTTGGGCGGCGTTATGCAAATCTTCCCACATCGTGACATAGACATGTGGGGGCGTGTTAGAACGAGCCGTTTTAGGTAGGCGTGGTTGACTCTTAACTTTTATAAAGAATATCTCTTTGGATTTGAGACTTTAGTCTTTGCAACTTTACAGATCTTCTTTATGCACCAAGAGCTTGTAACACTCCAAAGAGAAAGGAAAAATTTTAATCGCATCATATGACCCCTTTAATGAAGAACGTAACAAACACACACCATTTAACCCTTCTAAGAGACCAAATATGACCCAGATCCCATACAGAACAGACAACAATCATGTTTAAAGATATTTTGTATGGTAATCATTCCCTAATATTTTGTAAATTTTGATCAAATTTGACTAGAGATCTACTTATTTCACTGGTTCTGAAAAGGGCTGCATTTATTTGATCAAAAATGCAGCAAAAACTTAAATATTGTAAAAAAAAAAAAAAAAATGCAGTTACATTTTTTATATATATATTAAAATGTAATTTATTCCTGTAATGGCAAAGCTGAATTTTCAGCATCATTACTCCAGTCTTCAGTGTCACATGATCCTAAGAACTCATTCTAATATGCTGATCAAGAAACTTTTTAATTATTATTATCAATGCTGAAAACAGTTTGCTGCTTAATATTTTTTTGTGGAAACCGTGCTACTTATTTTTTCAGGATTCTTTGATCAAGAACATGTTCAAAAGAACAGCACTTATTTTGTGGATTCAAACTTTTTATTTCCAATCTTTAATTTATTAATGCGTGCATAATCCTGCATAGTGCATGTTCAGTTAGTATTAAATTGTAATTTCTCTTTTGTCTTTTAACAGGAATGGGCCATTAACCTTTCAAAGACGCCAGAGAGGCAGGGACCAAGAGAATGCACAACATTCCTTTTTTTAAACTTTTAGTAATACCAAAAAAAAAAAAAAAAAGCATTTTATACTGCCAGGAAGATCTATGCGAGTAGACACAGTATAAAAGCGAGAAAAATACAAAAAATATATATGTATTTTATCACTGTATTCACAGGTCATCGTCTTGCACCATCATAACATAAACGCAATGCCTTTGCATGTAACTTCTGTTAAACTGAAATCAAGGCTGTGAAAACAAGCGACCAACTAATTTGTTTAGATTATATCATAATTATATAATAGCAGCCAACTCAAAACATTAGGAGATCCCTTGAAAAAGAGGATGAGGAGTAGCATTCAGAATTGTCTTTTGTCAAATCACATTTTTGAAAACATGTTAGTTACCCTTCTCATCTGTTAATTTATAGCTAAAGCAAAGCTTCACCTTGCATTTCATTCCTGTTAGCCAGTTCCAGACCGAATATGAGCACCCGTATCTGTATTTTGTACCTTTTGTCGTAACGAGTTTTTTTTTTTAATTGTCTTAATAATATATGTTAGCACATAGTGTACGCTTTTGTAATTAACTATATATTTTACTGCTTGATACAAAAATGGTCTTTGCTTTTGCTCTCAATATTATTTTATATCAAAGCAAGTTTTAATTCAGCAGAAGTCCATTAAGTCATACCGTTAGCATTATTACATTATCTTTGGCCTTTTTACTTCTGGAAACACTGGTCTGAAGTTGTCTGTGACCAACTTTTTGTAAGTGTTAATCATGTGGAATAATTGGTTGGGTAATTGGTGGGTAATTGGTTAAAAAAAAAAAGTGAAACCGTTGAACTCGAAAGAAAGGGAATGTGCACTTTTTGGCTTAAATCACATATTTGATGAGTACATTTCACAGATTTTGCATATAATTCAAGACCTTGGTTAATCCAAAAATATCCAGCAAGGACAGCGAGAAGGACAAAGTCAATTCATGTTTATTGTTCAAGTGTTTCATTTTTCTTCTTTCTGTTGCAATCATTCATATGAAATTGCAACAGATGTCGTCGGCTTTCAATACAGCGCTAGTTGGCAGAACGTTCGTAATGCTGTCATTTAAACGTGTATCATTTCTGACTTCTTTTGTCAGACAAAGAATATCCAGTTCTGCCGCCGTAGCTTATCGCTCATGTCTCTAAATGTTCAAAGATCCTGTATTCTGCTTGTATTTTTTGACAATCAAGTTTTTTACTATTTGTTTCAACACTTATGTATTGTTTCAGACTAACTCTATGCAAGTCGCACCACTTTTAGTTGAAATTACCTTGTTACAAATATGACCGTTTGTAGCCAATAGTTCCATACAGAGCAAATGTTTCAACTTGTATCATTGTCTCAGTGACCACAATAAAGAGACCAATGAAAAACACCTGTGACTGTGTGCTTCTCAATACTCCAGCAGCCATATATCACATAACTGAAATGCTTCGCTCCCTCTGACAATAGGCTCAGCTCCAGCAGCCAGTCAGAGCGAAGCAGTGAGGTCACATGATCTGGCAGGTCTGTATTAGGTGAGCTTTGGGTTTGTTTGAAACTGTCTGCTGCCCGGACCCTCGAGATAAGACCCCATCTCTCGTTCTTCCTAGTGAGATCTCAGGTAAGAGGTTTCAGATTTTGTCATGGCATCCACATGACAGTTTCTTCATAACTAAAATCAAACAATTGCTTGCCTACCGGATTAAACTAATTGTCCCAAGTTTCCCATAATGTGTGAATCAGGTCTAAGGATCACCCTCTTCATTCCTTTGCATGGCGTAGTCTGTGCAATCATCAATGCAATGCTCGTCTTGTTCGCCAGAGGGACTGCTGGTTTGCATGCTTGGGGTATTTGCCTTAATGCTGCTTAATACAGACTATCGATGGCAACATTCCTGCCACTGTCAGCCTGTGTAATCCAGCCTTTCAGATGGAGTACGACCGGCCCTGGCTTATTAATGTAAAACACACGTAGCTCCAAAGTGAGACGGATAATCTGCTGCAAAGATTTGGTGGATTTGGTCAGAGACGCTGCGCTCAAGCCTCTGGCTGCTGCTGCCTGCTCTCATTATCACGAGGACTCGATTCAAAATCAACCTTTATCCAAGATGATCTCTTTGCAAGAGTCATTAGTTTGAGTGCCATCAGACAAGATAGGCTGAAGACCCCAACAGCTGATGAGCTGCAAATATTGAGTGAAAATAAGACAAAAGTGGATGACCTGCTGACATTTGGAAATGTTGGAAAGAAAAAAAAATGGTGTAGGATTTACTTTGAAAAAAAATTCAGTCCGAAATTGCTAGTAAATTTCACAAAGAAATGCAAAGAAATTAAAAGTAACACTGAAATAAATGTAACATTTTTAAAGTAGAAAATGTACTACGTCAATCTTTATGTACAACTTAAAAAAAACTTAATTTATACAGTGTATGATTTAATTGCATTAAAAGCAAATATCAAACCAAGTGGTGCAAAACTAAATTAACTTTTTAGACTTTTTTGCAATTATTGTCAATCAGCTGGTGTTTTGGTGATTTTTAGGAGGTCAGTTCTCCTTAAAGGTGTCGTTCATTAAGTTGACTACCAACAATAAAAAAAAATTACAAAATAAAATTGTTGTAAAAAAAAAAAGGTGTAGAAACAATTTTCACTTAAATATAATTTACAAAGAAATAAAGTAACATTGAATTAACATTAAATTTTAAAGTAGAATGGCTGAAATGGTATTTTCTTGTAAAATTAACAGTCATGATTTATTTCCAACTAGAAGAAAAATGTTTACGGTGCATGTTCCGTTTTTTGTCTCAATTATACTTTCTTATAAAAATAAATTTTGTTTAAAAAATAAAAATCATAAAAACTTAATTTATTAAATGTTTTGCTTGAAAAGCGTGCTTGTGCTATATTACTAGATATTTTGTTGCCTAATACAATGACATTCACGTAGCCTATTTTTAATTGTGACTTAGGTCTATACAATGTAAATAAAACGATGATTATTGCAGTATATTTTGCAAGAAATACTAGGCTATTTCAGTCTTTCTGCTTCAAAGGTTCATGTTTAATTTAATGCGAAACTGGTCATTTCTTTGTAATTATTTGTGAAATTTACAAGCAATTTTTGAGTGGATTTTATATGTTTTGGGACGACTATATAATCATAACGAGTTGAATTAAATCTAGACGGGTCTTTAGCGTCATTAGAAGCTGTGGAACAATGTCCTGCACAGACGATGTGCTTTAAAAATAGATGCCAAGGACACACGCGCTATTGGTTTACACAGAGAATGAATGGCAGGCCTGGATGAGATCAGCCAAGTTCATTGTTTGGAAAAGTGTGGAGCAGCTGTTCCAAACCGTAGTTTATTACAAGCAAAAATAGCCTCCTGCACTCATTAATCACATGTTTTATAGTGTGATTTATCACGGTGGATTGTCTTCAGGACAGCGATGCTGCTTTTTCAAATCTTGTTAAACAGGGTAGTGAATACGAATCCTTGTTATTGTCCAACAATGTTGAACATAAAGATTATTGCTCTCTGGGATCAGGGTCACTAGCAGAAGTTTAAAGAGGATTTGTTCTGCTGTTAATACATGCTGAAATAAATTGAAATGGAATGAACTTTAGACATGCACGTAAGGTCCCGTAATAAATTTAACTCATTTACTTTATCAGAAATCAACTAGTCATGGCTGACACGGAAGACGTGGTGGAGGAGGAAGTTCAGTACGTACGAACTTATTACTTTTTAACCATTTTAACTCATTGTATTCTAAACGGAATACAGAATACTTCAAAGTATAGACTGTTTAAACTTAAAAATAAAGGTTCTTTATTGGAATCTATGGTCGCTTTTCCACTGTCAGGCCGAACGGTAAGAAACGGTTCCACTTGAGCTTGGTTCGGCATGATAACAGACCGTTCTTGGCATGTAAATCTCAGCACGGTTGTTTAATTACTCTATTTACAGCTCATACCGTATGTAAACACTTGTGTTGCTACGGCAAAGACTGACGCATTTGTATTAGGAGCTCGGTTATCAGCTCCTCAAAAGCGGCTCCATGAAGAACCTTTAACATCCATAAGACCTTTCCATTCCATAAAAAGTTCTTTATAGTGTAAAAGGGTTCTTTAGATTATTCAAATGTTCTCTGAAAGATTCTTTGGGGAACCCAAAATGGGTCTTCTATAAGGCAACACTGCGAAAACCCCATTTTGGAATCTTTATTTTTAAGAGTGGTCTGTATACTAAAATAATTGAAACAACAGAAGTCTATAGTGTGACATTGTTGCCACATGACAACAATACAGTGCACATGAGTATGGATTAGTCCATTTTTTTTTATCATAAACTGTCTTAAAGTTTAATTGTCCGCTGATGTAATAGTTGGAGTAGAAATGGTAGAAATTGCAGTTATCAGTTTAGCATGATATTGTGGGATAAACAATTCTGTCCTAATACTGCATGCACATGCTGTATACAGCAGAAATAGTGAAAGTAGTGAAGTGTAGTATGCTAGGCTATTCCAAACACAACCTACCTGTACATTGTTCAACCTACCTGTGATTGGGACATGTCCTAAGGTATGAAAAAGGTACATCTTTGTACCTTATTTACCCTTAAATAGCACATATTAGTACTTTAAAAGTACATACCTAAATTGTACATATTAGTAGGTACCGCCCCAGTCCTAGGGAACAAATTTAGGTTTTAAAAACATTGTGTTGAAATGTTTCTAAAACATTGACGTGTCCAGTTTACTTGTTGTGATTTTAACGTTATTTAAAGGTTACGAAAACGTTTCTTACAATGATCTAACTTTTCCACCCAAAATATTATTTTTAACGTTGTTAGAACATTAAAATGTCCAGTTTTGTTATTGTGATTAGAACGCTATTAAAGATTCCTAAAACGTTTCAACTAATTAGATTTTCACCCAAATAATTTTTTTTTTATATCCTAAGAACGTTTTCTCTCAACATTATGAGAATGTTCATCAAGTACAAACAACATCAGAAGGACATCAGAGAATGTTGATCTAGAACGTTTTCTCTCAGTTTTATAAGAACATATATCAAATATTAATAATGTTATAAGAACGTTCCATAAGCATTCCTTTAAGAACGTTTTGTCCTAAAATTTTGATCTTAGCTATAAAAATGCTAGTGAAAGTTGTGAGTGTTCCCTATTGGGGTGACAGCTTTGTTTCTGAGAGTGTAACTCTATTTCATGTATCCTTGATTATCCAACTCAAAGTCAACTGTTTATCCTTTTCTTTTTCTCTCTTCACCATGTAATAGGGAAGGTAAGCCAGTATGAGATGAGTACCTACTGCTTAAAGCATCGACATTAGCCATATTCATGCACTAATCACTAACTGTGTCCTCATGGAAATTGGAGGCTGGTCCAGAGGAAGTTCTGCATGCTATTGTGCTATTTTAGACTGTGCGCGTTTCACTTTAGAATAGCTTTTGTCTTCAGCTTCATGCCCAGTGTGTCCTCATGGAAATTGGAGGCTGGTCCAGAGGAAGTTCTGAATGCTATTGTGCTATTTTAGACTGTGAGCGTTTCACTTTAGAATAGCTTTTGTCTTCAGCTTCATGCCCAGTGGAGTTGGGTTACTCAAGCACTAATATCAGTATGTGCAGAGTGACATTTTAATATCAAGTATGTCCTGCCCATGTCTGTTTCCTCTTGTCTCAGTTATCAGTCCCTTTATTCTGTCCATAACAGTTCATGAATCTAATATTTTGGTGCTTGTCTTGCGTAATAAATAACAT